TTAAAGTTCCCACAAATATGAGGTTTAATGGGTTTTATACCAGAGCAAAAATATATTTCATAATGTGACATATTTTTGATAAGCATTAATGGTCTGTTTATATTTCAACAACCGACTAAATGGCCTGTTTGCATTAACTGATTACTGTAATCATTGTATTACACTAAATAATGATTGTGAAATCCTCAAAAACACTTAATGAACATCATTATGGAATTAATGTTCATTTTTATTTCACCATTTTATTTTTTTTTACATTTTCAGTTGTAGCTGTCCATCCCAAACATTAATGTCAGTATCTTTCTACTAGCAGAAATGAAGGTCCAGTGAGTCCGGCTCACCTAAGGGCGGCCAGATTTTTGGTTTGTGCAGCGGAGCAGTCCACATCAACGTATACGACCTGCCACAGGGTAAGAGATTTACTATTACACACATAAATACAGACAAGAAACTGAGTGAATGTTTTGCAGGTTCTGCACTTCTGAGTTGTTATTATTACTTTAAGTTGGTGGGTTAATACTTGTCTTTGTACATGAATTTGGAAAATTCCAAAACAGTGAGGGTTCATATCACAGTCTATTTTTCAAACGAATAAGATTAACATAGTGGCAACAGGGCAATCACAAAGGCAGTAAACAATATTATTACTATGTTACTATTATTGCTTTTATTAGGGTCAATAGTTGTTGCCATTAGACAGTGATGTTATTATTTACAGAGACTTTAGCCAAATCAAAATTATGTATTGCATATCTATTACACCCTGAGGGATCAATATCATATAGGACACAGTACTGGGAATGCTGAAATTAGCAGGATTTTTTAAAAAGATGATTGCTCTTTCACTGCTTCATATTTTCTTCATCCTCCCTCACCTTTTTAATTCATTTTCCCTACTTCCTGCTCCATGTTAGCTATTGTCCCTATTTTCTCCTCATCCTCAGGAATCTACACAACCGTGTCTGTCCATGAACCAACGAGACCGGTACTGTCCAGTCTGCCTGCAGATGGTTAGCTTCCCTGTCCAGACAAACTGTGGCCATTTGTTCTGTGGTAAGAGATTATACACATACACACTGACCACTTATCTGGTTGCGTACAAGTGCCACATCGTACTAGGCTTGTTCTTTCATTCATGTGTCTGCTCACTCCATTGTGTGTGAAACCGGATTCATAAACCTTGTGCACCTGTTACATGATTTGTTTATATGTCTGTTCATGTCTCATTCATCAGGTGATCAGTGTGCTGCAGCTCAGGCCTCTCTTTTCAGCTGCCAGTAATCACTGTTATCATAGTTTTCCACTACTCACTGTCTATGACCTGACAGCTTTACTCAAATGATTCTTCTCAAAGATGTGTGGTTATATAAGATGTAGTGTAGCTCATTCATTCATTCATTCATTCATTCATTCATTCATCTTCTACCGCTTAATCCCTGAATGGGGTCACGGGGGGAGGGGGCCGGAGCCAATCCTGGCCGGCAATCGGGCGAAGGCAGGGTACACCCTGGACAGGTCGCCAATCCATCGCAGGGCTAACACATAGACAAACATCCACACACGCACTCCTATCGGCAATTTAATGTTCAGAGGGGAATCTCAAATTCAGTTCAAAACATTACACTCAGAGTAAATGTACACATGATTGTGCTATATCATCATATTGTTTTGAACTGGATAAAACATTTTGCAACATGTGTTTTGTGCCAAGTGTTATATTATTAAATTGACCAATATGTCATTCTAACCTTGACGATGGCCTTACCCTAGCCATAAAAGTTTAATGACCTTTGAATCACTTTACACTATGTAGCCTTGGTAATGACACATGATCGTGGGAGTCAAAGTTGTACTTCCAAGAAGAAAGACAATTGCACCTCCCACCCAAATATTAGGTGTGCAGGTGAAGCTTATTTAACCATGTCATGATGTGTCACAGATAAAGAAAGCATTTCAGTGCCAGCACACACTTTACCTTAGCATACTGTAGACAGTTATCACTGCATCTTACCGTCCAAGCCTCTCCAACCCTCAGCCACCCATACAACTCTGACTGTTATCAATAATTGTGACTTCATTGCATACGTGTCATGCTTTGCCAATATGTAAATATTTGATAGCAGCACTGGAGATGCATTATGGTATAGCCTGGTAAATGTTTAATAAAAAGGTGGTGATTCATGTGTTTGATTCTGCAGCTCCCTGTCTCATCACCTACTGGAGACATGGGTCATGGCTAGATGCAATCAGCTGCCCACTCTGCAGAGAGAAGGTACAGTCTGCATGATCAGAAGTAAACAGTCAGTACAGAAAGAACATGGAATAAAATGGTTTGTGACTTCTCAGGTCAGTGTGTTGTTCCATTTATTCAACGAGAGCCGATCGGACCAACAGTCAAAGGAGGTTCTTGGGAAAATCACAGACTACAACAAGCGTTATTCTGGAGCCCCACGACGGGTGTGTACTCCATCTGACCTTCAGACGTGACACCAGCACATCCCAACAGCATACCTATCCTTCATATCTTTATTGGAAGTGTTTTATTAGAAGCTAAAGTCTTCCCAAAGTTAATTTCCCTGTGTCTGGTTGTGTAAAAGTATCAGGTTGTACACATTTCTTTTACAGCAGCCTTTGCTGTACTGTCAGATTAGATCATATGAAAGATGAGAATTCCTCCACTATTCCCTCAGACAATAGGCTTGGTAACAGGAACACATCTTACACAAAGATTTATTGTTCTTTACAGCCACCAAAACCAGACAATGAAGGTTTACTGGTTAACACACCTAGCTGCCCTACCTTGGATGAGCCTTTCCTTTATAGGTCACAACTGATTTCTCACATGGATCTCCTTCACATTCACTTAATATGTGACAGACCTTCTTAATGGTCTGTTATTACAAACAACTAAATACATGAGGTTCTGATAAGTGAGTTTATGTGCTGTATTCATAAAAATCCAGTTCTCTTTTAATGTACAACCAAACACAATGTATGTTAGCTGTTTGATTTTTTTTCTGAAAGAGTTTATTTCCCTCCCTGACCTGACCCGGTCTCCTGTACTCTTCCAGGTAATAGATTATCTGTGCGACACCCCACTTCTCCTGCAATTAGCAGCTCGTGGCCTAAGCACCATCGGGGGGCTCGTGTGGCTGTTTTTATTCAGGGTGGCCCTGTGTTGCGTGGGGACCATGGTGTCCATCTCCTCCCCTACTCTGGATTCAGTCTCTTCATCATCAGCTACTACCCTGGAGACAGACTCCTCCCTCTGTGGACTGCTGGGGGTCCTGGATGACCTGGTGGTGGTCATCCTGCTTCTTATCTGTGTTATCAACATCAACCAGCAAGTAGCACCAGAGGGAGGACGACACTCTGCAAATGCTACAACCTCACAAGACCTAATGGGGAATTCACTGTAAACAGATGTCTCTGCAGTGTCAGAACAGCCTGTTAGACATGGACTTTTATTGGATTCCTTTCTTCGGGCTGTAGCTAGTTGGATTAGTGGAAGCAGGAATAACAGCTCAGCATGCAACAGTGATTATGTTAGCTGGCACATGGTCCTCAGGCTGTCAAGTGTTTGCAGAGCCTTTGCAGGAGTGATATCAAAAAAACTATTAGCTTAATAAAGTGCTAATACAACCAAAGTTACAAATTTTCATTCCTTAAGTTCTGAGGCCTGAAGTGTTTCAGAGCTTTCTAACCCATATTAAATCTCGTTGACTTTAATGAATTCTGTCAATTTAAATTGTGGGTTCATCATTTGTATTTTAATTCAACTTTTTAAGCCATCTTACACCATAAAAACTGAGGGAGGGGTGGCTTTACTCCTAACTGGGAAGCAACTGTCAAGCTCAATTCAAGTTGTCAGAACTGTAATACTGACATTCCTGTAAATAGCCGCTATAGTGTGGTTTTGTGTAAAATAAATATTTATTGTCTTATGTGGCTTTTCTTTATCACGTGTATCACATATTCCTGTTAAGTCATTTCTTAGAAACTTCAGTTTCTAAATGTTTCAGCAGAGCAACAGTCAGCTGACCTGATTGATACATAACAGTTTTGTGAAATATAGAGCGGTCGTCAAAATAAAACCCATACAATGCACAGTCAACATGAGTCCTCAACAGTCCCAAAGTTATGAAGTGTTACAGCAGGGATTGGTAATGGTGCAAAAGGGCCAAGTACCAAGGAAAGAAAAAAGGTGAAATACACTATTGGGTAATGTAAACAGGGCTTAAACATCCATTGGCAAAACTAAACAAGGACAATTCTATTTTGAGATCAGCCAACATTGAGTCTTATCACTGTGTGTTGTTGCACCAGGCAGCAGCATTCCTGAACATGTGTAGCCAGGGTGAAGGTGTGAGAGAAGGTCTGAAGTCCCTCGGGGCCCAGGGCCACTGCCAGGCCAGGGTGCAGCGCTCTGGGTGGGGCATCATGGCTAGGTGTCTGCCATCCCTGGAGCATAGCCCTGCAATACCGTGTGGGGAGCCATTAGGGTTCAGAGGGTACTCTTCGGTAGGATGACCCAGGTCATCAAGGTAACGCAAGGGAGCGAGCCCATCAGAAAGAATTTGGTCTTTGGCCTGGGAGCTACGGAATTGCATTAGACCTGCGGGAAAGAAACAATCAATATTAAACCCAGCTGCTGATTACTGAACATACTGACCTGTGACTTATGAGACAACAGAAATGAGTCACGGTTGTGTAAGTTCAAAACTTTAGCACTCAGTAACCATTTTGGCCCACTTATGATTCAATTCTGCATTCAACAGCCACTCAGGAATTTGTCAGAACTGATGCCAGAGGAGCACAGGCACCAAGGTTGACAATAATAACCAGTTACCAACTACTGTAACATACAGTGGGTACGGAAAGTATTCAGACCCCCTTAAATTTTTCACTCTTTGTTATATTGCAGCCATATGCTAAAATCATTTAAGTTCATTTTTTCCCTCATTAATGTACACACAGCACCCCATATTGACAGAAAAACACAGAATGTTTGACATTTTTGCAGATTTATTAAAAAAGAAAAACTGAAATATCACATGGTCATAAGTATTCAG